CGGGAATTCATCTCATCTCTTTGAATCCGAGTTCCACTGTACTAATTACCACACCAGCAATATCCTCAGTCAACAACAAGATTCCTGAATCCATAGAATGTGACATTGTGAAATGACTAGAATATGACATAAAGCAGTAAATTCGGACAATCAAAAAAGGCAGAGAACATCAATAGTTTAGTTATAGTATGTTTTATACGGCACTTGCAACACAGGTCATATAAATGCCGAAGAATAGAGGTGTTACAAGAGAGTAACAAATACAAATTAAAAGGAGGAGAGATAAGGACAACACATGTTTGATAGGAAAGAAGGAGCCCTCATCAATAAAAGTCACAAAGATAAAGTGAAAAAACAAACAAACAAACCAAACAAACAAAACTCTGCCAAGTTTACTTTCTATGACAATCCAAATCCATACAATTATTGAACAGGAATTTGCTACTCAATGCTTCACGAGAAACCCTCATTTCAGTGTGCATCCAGAATGGACAAGACATAAAATTAGTAGCACCAATAACATCATGTACATTGGGCAAAAACTATACAACATTCATTTATGGACAGATTTATAACGACTTAACCCATTTCAGCTCAAAGTGCTATCAACAGTCATGCCTAAACATGTAGATCTTGGACATTCTTTTCTAAGAACAAAATTTACACACCCAGCTTGGAGTCGAAGGAACATCAAGACAAACAATGTGAAACCACCGTGGGCAGCGCGAGCATCCAACCCATTCCATTACTGATCCATCAGTACATAACTCACGACTAACCTCTTCCTGGAAACAAACATAACATACATCAGTGTTAAAACGAACCCTTTTGGACTTTTTGTAGCTGCGTGTTTTCAACATCTTAGGTCTCCCTCGCTTCCGAACAACAGGCAGCTTAACATTTAAATTCCTAACATCTTGAAGGGATAGTTCAGGTTCACTCCTTACATCTGTATCACCTACTACCACCGCATCATCCCCGATTACCTCATCCCCTACCACCGCACCATCCCCGATTACCTCATCCCCTACCACCGCACCATCCCTGATTACCTCATCCCCTACCACCGCACCATCCCTGATTACCTCATCCCCTACCACCGCACCATCCCTGATTACCTCATCCC